TGGAGACAGCTCCTTGGAACTCTTAGAAAGATGGGGCCCTTTCTTTTGAGCGACGATATGTTTTCATAGTCTGATGATTTCTCTTTTCTGAAAAGAACTGTCAAAAAAAAAAAATAGGTTCTTTTAGAGATGGAAGTAGATTTCTGCCCAAATTTTCTTACCAAACATAAAAAGAAGGACAGGAGACCCCAACCCAAGATTCAGCTTCTGGGGAGGCAACTGAGGGGGTGGTGGGACACACAGAAGGTGGGCTCCCTCTGGGAGTCTCATTCCTTGGTCTTTGCTTTGTGCAACTTTAGGACAAAGGGCCACCCAGGGAGAGGGTGCTCCAGCAGCACATGCCCACTCACCCCCTCTCACCCTCGGTCCTCCTCTTGCTCTTTCTCCTGGGGCGGGGCCAGGGGGGCAAATCAGCAACTAACGGTCTTTCTTTTCTTTTTTCTTTTGGTACCACCGATTGAACCCAGAGGTGCTTCACCACTGAGCCCTTTTTAAATACTTTATTTAGAGACAGGGTCTCACTGAGTTGCTGAGGGCCTCGCTAAGTTGCTGCGGATGGGTTTGAACTCTCAATCCTCCTGCCTCAGCCTCCCAAGCTGCTGGGATTATAGGCATGCACCACCATGCCCAGCTAATAATGGCCCCTTCTAACTCATCAATTTCAGCACCCTGGCTTCCCAGGACTAAAAGACATTTTCTTTTATGTCTCCATTGGTTAAATGGCTTTTTGAATGCAGACTTTCCAGCCCACCCCATCTTTCTCAGAAATGTGCACCACTCAGCCAAGAAAAAGAGAAAATACACGCAAAAAGCGCTAGAAATTAGAAATGATGCTCGTAAGAGTCACAGAGGGATTGAAAAGCAATTGTAGGAGCACAGTGAGCAGATGGTCGGACGAGACCAAACACCACCAAAGCTCTTGAATCTTAGTTTGCTTTCTGTGTCTCTGCGGGGCTCGCCGTGTGAAGGGTGTTTCTGCACGTGGCTGGCAGTGTTCACCTAGGGCTGATCCTACAGAAACAGGGGTGCTCAGCTGAAAGAATAAATCAAACCCTGGTTGTTTCTTCCCACTCCCCTGCGCCTGTCCACTCATATTGCACTAAAACTCTCAGTGGCTCCTTGGGGTGGAAGGGGCACCTTCCCACCTCTTCTCCAGATCAGCACCGGGCAAGCACCTGCTCCTCAGCACTCAGAGGGAGCCGCACAGGACACGTGCTCTGAGTCCTCCTTCAGTTAGGAAAGGCACAATGCCACGAGGAGCAGAAGAGAGAGCTGTCACCTGACCTGGATCCCCAGTGGGATCCCCATATTCTTGAAAAGTGACCCAGTCACTCAGAGAAGTTGTGACCAAAAGCGTTAGTTCAACCATCACCAAACCACCAGAGGAGCTGGGAGAGGGCTGGGCAGACCTGTGGCCTCTAAAGAGAATGAGCGTGTTGTTCAGATGGCGGCCCAGGGCTGTGGTGGTCAAACACTATTTAGTTGTGGAATCTTTGCTTTAAATATTTTGCCTGTAAGATTGTGTGCATGTGTGTGTGTGTGTGTGTGTGTGTGTGTGTGTGTGTGTTCTATGCATGTGGGCACAGGTGTGTGTTACCACTTGAGTATGCATGCACTGTGCTGTACATATTTAGGCCTAGGATAGGTGTGAGCAAGTGTGTGCATATGGGCACGTGTGTTGTGTGTGTGCCCATGTGTGGATATCTGAGTGCAGATAAGGATCCAGGGTGAAATGCAGCTGCTGGTGGGGGAGGGAGGCCAGGTTCCCTGGGGAGGCTCCAGCACCCCGTGGAATGCAGTTGGGACCCACTGCTCTCCTGAGGGGTGGTGGTTGTGTGGTGCTGCATGTTTTCCCTGAAGATCTAAACTGACCCCCCCAAGCACAGAGCGAAAGACCTGCCTTAACCAGGCAGGTCATCGGCATCTGCTGAGATGACCCCTTTGGGGGAGAGCATCTTCTCTTCCCTGTGGTACCAGCTTTGGGTTCTGACCTGCCTCAGGGATATGGGCTCTTTCCTTGTCTCGGTGCTTCAAGAACATCTTTGAAAAGGCCAGAAGGCCTGGTCTGCTGCTCTTGCGTGCGCTGGAGGGGCTTTCCTGTTCTGAGTGGCTGCTTCTGTGTCCCCGTGACTCCCTGCTCTCTCTTCCTGTCTGCCAGCTGGTGCTTTGCGCTGGCCGGAGCTCTTCCCTAGTTAGCTGCCCTCTGCCCAGTGACAGTCCTCACCCTCCCTCATTTGTTTATCTGCAGGAGGAAGCTCAGAGCCCTGAAAGATAAGGCACTGGCTGGGTGGAGCTGGCCTCTGGCTTTGTCTGAGAGGCTCTGTGTGCAAAGGGGGATGAGTCCTGGTTCATGGGGATGGGGTGAGGCGCCAGAGTGGGGGAGTTCTCAGTGTCCCAGGGATGTCTCTGGAGGTGAGCGACATCAGACCAGAGATTCTTCTTTGCTGTCTCTGATACAGTGTGGCTCTGAAGACAGGATGGGGCAGAAAGATGGGCACTAAAGGGATGGGAGAGAGAGAGAGAGACAGAAGAAATTTTCCTGGGCAGAATTTAAAGAAGAGTGTGGAAGTGAAATTTTCCAAAACATTGCTCAGATTTTTCCTTAAGCATTCATTGGTTCAAAGTCATAAAATTAAATATTATAAAATTTGCCACATAACATTGTAAAACTTCCACACAGCTAAAAAGCAAACAAACAAACAAACAGTAAATACTGTCAAAATAACTCCATCCAGGCACTGTGGTGCACATGGTAATCCCAGCGGCTCGGAAGGCTGAGGCAGGAGGATCTCAAGTCAAAAGCCTGCCTCAGCCACTTAGCAAAGCCCTAAGCAACTCAGCCAGACCCTGTCTCAAAATAAAATAAAATAAAAGGGTTAGGGATATGACTGAGTGGTTAAGCACCCCTGGGTTCAATCATGGATAACAATAACAACAACAACAAACTTCAAAATATACTCTAGCATAGATCAAAAATCAAAGTCATATAAATGAAAGATGATACATAAAAGTGAGAAAAAACATGAAAAGGAGTTCACAGAAAAAGAAATAGAAACAACCACGGAGAAGAACATGCTGAACCTTTCTCATAAAGACAAGCAAATTAAAGCAAGCTGTCATTTTCTTTCACCTCTTAGACTTGCAAAGATTTAGAAGTCTGATAACAGTCAGTTGGCAGGGTGTGGGGACACAGACACTTTCAAATCCGGTTAGTAAGATCAAAAAATAACACCAAGTGCATTGGAAGATAGCTGGTAGCCTCTGTCAAAACATAAAGTGCCTGTGTCCTTTAGCCCAGGAGTCTCCTCCTAGTGATTTAGCAACAAGCACTAATAAGTATCCATCATGCTGTGCCCGGCCTGGCCAGGTACTGTTCCGAGGGCTCTCCACACAGGAGCTTGTCCAATCTACACAGCAACAGGTGCATGTTGTGTTATTGTCATCTCCATCTAACTGATGAGGAAACTAAAATGATGTGTTCACTCAGGTACACAAAGATGGAGGGGTAGAGATGTTCACTGCAGTTTTATTTATAACAGCAAAAATCTAGAAATAACTACCTATCTATCACCAGGGTCTGGCCAAACACATAGCCACATATCCACACGGTGGAACATGATAAGAAGGATAAAAACCCATTTTTCTCTCTCTCTCTCAGCTCACATGAGAAGACCTCTAAGATATTTTTTTCTTTTGGTAAAAAAGCAAATTTCAGAAGAACATATATAGTATGATTTTACATGCATCTTTTAAAGATATGTACATATAAGCTTGTGTGCATGTTTAAGAGTTCTGGAACATTTTGCAAACAGGAGTAGTAAAGCCAAGAAATGGAGCTCATGGGATTGGGGAGAAAACGTGTTTTTCATACCGTTTCTTTCTGTATGCTTTTTTTTCAACTAAGGTACAATCAAGTTAAATAATAATATATGTAAATGTTTGGTGGAGTGTGTGGCCCACAGGAGGGACTAAGTGAAACTTCTACAAGGAAGCATTGCCTTCGTGGCAGAGACTGGCCCCTGCTTAAGGGATCTGCAAGCATAGCAAATTTTCAAAGTTCCAAGAGCCCCAGTGGGAGAAATGGGGAGAGATTTTGTTGGGAGAGGGAATAGACGAGCAGCTTCAAGGAAGAGTCCAGATAGCAATGGCATTCCCCCAACCTCCAGTAGACTGCCAGGCTCAGCCAAGGGTCAATGGACTCCTGTGGCCATCATGGCTGCCAGGCTCCTTTAGGTTAGGGACCACCCACCATGTGCCCCTCTATCAGGGCACTTGAGCTAGAACTAACTCCCCCTTCTACTCAAAGTTTCCAGGAAAGTAAAAAGCACCTTCTCTTCCCCCTCCCCCTGAGCCAAAGAAGGTGGACTTTCTAGAAAGAGCAGGGAGTCTGGGGTGTTCAGTACTCAGAGACAACCTTAAGTTTCAGCTGCGGGGGCAAATCTGGGTCTCTGAAGGGACAGTGACCAACCTCTAGGAAAAGAAAACCATGGGGCAGAGTGTCCAGGGGAGGGGGAGAGGCTTAGTCAGGGAGAGGTTGACACTGAGAGAGCATGGCTTTGTCCCTCGTGGTCCCCTGCTGCCTGCCTGAGACCCATTCACTGTGACCCCACCAGGCTCCGCCCCCTGGGAGGCTCAGTTCTTCACACAGCCCTCTCGCTCCATCCTCGTGGTCAGCATGGCAGCTGAGAGGTGGGGGCGGCCCTTCCAGACAGTGGACACCTTCAGATTGACCCCCTAGCTGTCAGCATGGAAGTCAACCATGTGCCGGTGCCCAAACGACCCCCTGGCCCTTCCCAGATGCTCCTTGTATACTGTGGGGGTGAGCAAGCCTCCATTCATGACTGCTCGGTGTCAGGGTCTGCCACCAGCTCAGAGGACTCTCGGCCCTAAAGTTTGGAGACTTTGTGGGCAGACTCTTCCATCGGGGAGCCTGTCCTTTCGGTGACTAGGAAACTGGGTTTTCCTGCTTGGGTTCTAACGAAGTCTTTGATCTATTTCAGGTATCGGAACTGTGTTTACACTTACAGAATTCTGCCCAATGAAGATGACAAATTCACCGTTCAGGTAAGTCCCTTGTGAATCTGGACATCTAGACCTGACCTGAGCCTATACTGGCAGAGAGAGAGAGAGAGAAGGGGAAGAGGAAGAAGAAAGCCCACGTCCCGAGTGTGTAAGGGCCTGGCTGAGCCCGTCCTCCTCCAAAGCACCTGGGTGGCTTAGCCGTGGAGGTGACCCTGCTCTGAGATGCGACAGAGCCGGCGTGCCAGGGGTTAGTGGTGTGCAAGAGGGCAAGGGGACGCCCAGAGACACAGGAGAAGTGTTCCTGGTTTTCTTTAGTCCTCTCAAAGGAATGCACGTAGATGGTCTGGGAAGGGGGGACGGGGGTGCACTTGCAGGAAGCCCGCGAGAGTCACGCGTCGCAGCCCTGGAGGAGTGCTGTTGCGAGTGCTCTGCTGCTCAACACCGATGCTCGCGGCACCTGCTCCCGCCACGGGAAGCCCGGTGCTCCAGACTTTCAGCTGAATTTCACAAAGAAAAATCAACTGCACCCATCCACCCGGGAAGTGTGGGGAGACCACCCTAAGCACAGTTTGTGGGTAACAGTGGAGGCTTTGTTCGACCGCAGTGTGTGATAACGGAGTGCTGTGGGAGTCAGGGAAGTCATGTTTATCTGGCTGCATCAGGAGAACATGGGGGTGAGAGAAAGGAGGAGGCAACGGTCTCAGTGACCTCAGTGGGGGTGGGGTGGGGGTGTGCAAGTCCTCAGGGACCACGGTCAGAGGCCCAGCAACCAGCGGCACACAGCCATGCCAGAGCAGAGCCGCAGGCCCAGACGAGGGTCTGGAGGAGGTTCCTTGAAAAGAGAGTGGAAGCAGAAGTGGGAGGGGGCGAGGGGGAGGGGGAGAGGTGGGGCACAACTGCTGGTTCTAGACTCCAAGGGATGATTCCCCTTCCAGGGCGCAGGGTAGACACAGAGCTGCACTCAAGGGCCAGAGAAGAGCAGGTCCCTGGGGCAAAGAGAGCCAGAAACGTGTCAAGAGGGAGGGGGAGATTCGTGGAGCAGGCCTCTCAGGGTGACTGATTGTGGGGACCAAAGGAATCACTTCAACCAGCCGCTTAGTCCAGAGTGCGGGACCCTCAGGGGTTGGAACCAGCCCTGGGGGACACAGAGCGGCCTTCTGGGAGGCAGGGTCTCTGGCTGCGGGGCCTCACAGACGGGCAGGTGTGGCTCAAGCAGAAGCGCTCTCCCCGGTGGAAGTCAGGCTGAGCACTGCGCCTCTTGGTCATTGCCACGTGTGTGTCCCCACCTGGGGACAGGTGAGGACTCCATGCCACTGGAAGGTCTCCGGCTGGTCCTTGGTGGAAGTCACCAGGAGCATGTGTCAGCAGGCCGAGGGTAGGACTGTCCTTTCGGGGACTTGGAACCTTTGTCTCTGATGCGTGCCCCTCACCTGCCAGGGTGCCCGGGGTGTGGCAGGCCTAGGGGAGCCTGCTTGGGGCGGGCGGTGGGCCTCATGGTCTGCCACACTGCTTGAGTCGGGGACCCGTGAACCTTGCCAGCAGGTTGGCATCCTTCCTGGGTGGTTTCCTGAGAGGACTCAGCTCTCTTAAGTTAAAAGTCGGTCAGCGCCTTTGATCTTTTTCCCCTTGTGGTTTACTCTATTCCTTCAAAGTGAAGAGAACTTTAAGTGTGACTGGGAAGGACGTGAGTCTGTGGCTTCTCGAGCAGGGTCTGTACCGGGGCCTCTGAACACAGACTCCGTCTGGAGGCTGTGCCCGAGTCCTCACGTTCCTGCCCTGGTGCTTCCTGTGACGCTGTGAATCCTCACGAGTCCTGCTTCGGCTTTGAAACCCGGAGCCTCACCAGGCCTTGGGGTTGTAAGAAACAGACTCGCTTTGGCTCAGGCGTGCGCCGGGCTGTGGCCTGGGTGGAGACGTGCCCAGCAAGGAGGCCACTCAGAAGGCCCTCAGCTCGGGGCCAGGGACACGGCCCGGTCTAGGTCCCACCTCTGACTCAGCTCATCTCTGGGGGTTTGCTCCTCCCCTCCGCTGGCTCCCTTTCAGTTCCTGGTCCCCTGGGAATCTGACTGGCTCAGCCCCCAGGATCCCTGGGCCATGAGCCTGTGAAGGACTTGGCTGTCTGGGAGCAGGTGTCTGCCAACCATTGGAAGATGGGGACAGGAATCCACTCCTCGCCTGTGACCTCTTAGGTAGCCAGCACCAAGTAACTAAGGGACCCGGGGCCTAGGGAGTCTGAAGGTTTCCACCTTAAAGACTGCACCTTCCTATAAAAACACACCTCCTGAAATAAATGACAGCTGTCCTCTGCGGAGTGACACTGCCCCCGTAGGCCAAGCCAGAGGCCCCCTGAGACGCCCTGGGCCGTCCTTGAGCACTGCAGGTTTTAACTCAGGTTCCTCTTTTCATATTGAGGTAAACCCTCGCACTCCTTCCTGAGCTTAGCCACAGTTTCTAAATAACTCATTCCTTACACCTCAGTCTGTCAGGTGCCACCAGAATGTGGGGCGCCCAAAGAAGCAACCACTGACCTGAGACCCTTCCTAGGGAGGACCGAAGCCTCCGCTGCCTTAGCTCTTCCCGCGCAGCGGACGGGGCACGGGGCGAGGGCGGGGGCGCTCCTTTTTGTCAAAAAACAAAGACACACTCTATCTTCCTTCTTTGCTGAGCTACAGCTGAAGGCAGGCTACCCCTCCTGGCCCACGGTGGCCCCACCTGAGGGCAGGGTGTGGCCCCAGCTCTCTGGGACCCTTCCTTCCCTCCAGCTTTCACAGACTCACAAAAGTCAGAGACGGGAAGGACACAAGCCAGAACCTCACTCAACCCTCTAAATGTGAATGTCTCAGGATTGGGGCTCACACCAGGTCTGCATATCCCCCCTCCAAAAGAAAAGCCTTCTTTATGCAGCTCGGGATGTGCTCCCAAGCCTGGCCGAGGGCTGGAATCCCCTGGACAGGGGCAAGGGCAGGCCAGGACTCCACCCGGAGGGCGAGGAGGCAGGGCCTGTGGCCTGCCAATGCTGCGTCCTTTTCCTTCCCGGGTGGGAGTGATTCTAGGCAGTGCCACTGGGGAAGGGGCGAGTTCCCTGAAGCCCTCCCCTGGCTCTGCTCTCTGGGCTGTGGACCCCCAGGCTTCAGTGGCCGTGGAACTGTGAAGCAGCTCTTCTACCCCTGCGGGGGCCCTCAGACCTGGAGAACCTTCTGGGCGGGGGCCTGTGCCACATCCCCAGGCCTGGGCAGCTCTCTGAGCACGGCACGAGGCCAGGGCCAGGCAGGACGGCTCAGCCCCTCAGGCCCCCGTTTCCCACACCCGAGAGCCCCAACTCCTCTCCGGGGCTGGGAAGGGAAGTGACTCTCCCCTTGGGGAAGTGGCACGGGGTGGGTTCCTGACTCCAGAGCGGCTCCACTGCCTTCAAAGTGACGCTGCTCCCTGTGAGTCTGAGGCAGGAGGGGCAGTCCCAAGCTGCAGCATGGCTGAGAGAGCCCACAGGCTCAGAGCGGCCTTCAAAAGTGTCACAGGCACAGCTGTCCAAGCTGCCCCGCAACTGAAGCCCTGCACCCTGCCAGCCCCTGCTCCCGGTCCAGCTCCTTCCTGCCAAGAAGAACACGGCAGAAGATAAAGCCTGCCCGTGACCCCATCACGTGGAAGATCTCTGTGCACTTCTGCTTTTGAGGCTGAGATGGCATCCAGGGTCCTGAGGGGAGGCTGAATTCCAGGCAGGAGCTCCTGCAGGTTTCCTGCACCTGAAGGAGAAAATGGGCATTTGAGATGATCAAGCTCACAGACTATTGTCCGTCCACAGGCCTCTTTCCCTATTTAGAAGAAAACCCAGGGGCTGCAGCAGTCGGAGCTGTAAAGAGGAGACTCTTGGTTCCAGTTGCTGGTGGTGGTGGTGGTCAAGCCTGGCTTTTGGAGAGGGAAGCAGAACAGCAAGCCGCTCCCCCGGGGTCCCGAGCTGCTCTTGAGCCATTGTTATTATGCTCAGGAAGCGGGTGGCAGCAGTTATTGTTCTGAGTGGTCACCCCGTGAAGTAAAGATTCCGCCTGAGCCGCCAGGCAAAGGATGTGGCTCGTCCACACACTTCCTGAGGTTGCACGAGGAGGTGAGCTGAGAGGCCCAGAGAAGGCCCACAGGTCACAGGCAGAGGGTCCCTCTACGTCACGACTGCCACTTTCTAGGTGCCTACTTTATATTTTTTTCCTACAACAGAAAACAGACAGGTCTGCTTTGTAAGCCTCTGAGTATCCTAAAGCCTCTTGCAGCTGCCTTCATGCTCCAAAGGGGACTTGATGGACGTGAGACTCTCTGGGCCAGCATCGCTCCACATTCTATAGAGGCCTCCTGCTGCGGCCTTTGGGAGCTCAGTAGGACCCAGTCCCACGGCCAACCGAGGCCTTGAACTGGCTCCGCTAGACGGAAGCAGTTTTGTCTTTTTCTGCTTTGAAGCTGGTGGGAATTCTTTTCTTTTCCATCCCGTCATTTTCCTCCCGTTGCTAAGGCCGGGACTGGGCTCCGTGACTCACTGGACAAACTCAGAGCTTTCTGTGACTCAAAAGGCTTTTCTTCTGTTTGGTCTCTGAGTGAGCCTGTGTCCCACCTGGTCCCGTCTGCTCTCGTTTTCTGACCTTCTGAGCACACATGCCTTTGTGACACGCAGACTCCGCCGTTCCCTCGTGTGGCTGCAGGATACGTGGTCCTTTCCTGAGTGTTTTAGAGAAGTCTGGAGGATTTTGTCCCCTCTACCTCCCAGTGACCATCTCCTTTTTTCTCCCCATCCCCCTGCCATCTTGTTCCTGCTTCTCGCTATTCCAGAGCCTTCCGAGCCACCTTGCCCTAGGTGGTGGGCCTGTTCCTTTGGTTGTTGCTGTGGCCCCAAACAGCACAGAGCTGGGGATAACGTGTATCACGTGACCGATGGGTTGAAGCTAGTGAATAGAATGCAGTTGTAACCCATGAGACACGAAGGGGAGTGGTCGATGGGGCTTCTGATAAAGGTCTACTCGTCTGACTGCTTGTCCATAAGGATGAAATGGTCTCTATCTACC